TGAGTCTGCGCCATACTCGCTCGGCACACCCTTCAGCTTACTCACCTGTCTTCATCAATTAAGGCAGACACCTGCTCTGAGGTCTTTCCCATTGGCCATCTAGCTGATAACATCTAGTTGGAGTGAGAGGCAGCGATCTGCATGTCCTAATAAATAAATGTATTTTATTCAATTTAAGTAGTATAAACGCCGTCAGTCCAGAGACCCGTATTTACTGACTTATTTCTCAAAAAGATGATGATCCCACCCACTTGCGAGTCGAAAATTTAGTAACGGCATTTAGAAATGGTAAAAGATGAAGTTACTAAGGTCACTGAATGGCCTCACACTTAAGACGTATAGGGGCTTGAAAGCACGCCACGTTAAGCGCGTTATTTATAGTAACCTGGTGTTCAGAAGTGATATCTTCTGAGAGGTTCAAAATAGGGGCCAGCGAGGCAGGAATCAGGTGAATGGATGGGCGCACTGCAAAGAGGCACGCTCTCATGCCAAACATTTGAGCACTTTAAAATTGTGTTGGTTTGACCAGTAACCTGAAAGGAATGGAGAAGATAGTTCTACAATAAGGATTTACTGGTATAGCATTGCTATTAATTAGGCCATAATGAGTATTGGTGTCATTTTCATAGGATGAAAGGGGATACGGAATAATAAAATGAGGTAAAGATAGGAATCGATGCCACTGATGGGCGTGTGCCGTGTGTAGTTTGCAATCTGCGATGTGGACAGAGTACTCGAGAACAAGTCCCTCTGACTGGAGCTACAGTTCAGGCATCAGCATAGGTTTCACAGTTCAAGGTGCCCACAGGTGGTGATTTGCGAGTGCCCATCCGTACTTTCTTACCAAACGCGAAAGCATCAACACACAATGTACCAGAGTTCGTGTTACCACTGAAAGGCGAAATGCGACAAACTCCCCACATCGCACGAAGACACGTACGACTGTTATGTATTAGACAGAAGCTGTGCAATGACAGGCACAACAGAGAGAACGACCCATTACTGGTATACAGGCCTGTTCCGCCATTTGAAAGACGTCGCATATCCAATCATCGGTGGTGCAGAGGTGCACTCTGAGTGATGAAAGCCATTTCACTTGCAAACTGCCTGGTCTGGCGTGCACGACTCCCCACTCAACCACTCAGGGTTCATCTCAGCAATGTACCTCCACACAAAGGTACGCCATCCTGTCAGATACGAAGACGAAGTTCGCATACCGGGAGAGGAGGCTGCGCGAGTTTAGATTTTTGCGACCAACGTCTCTAAGACCCTGTATTGTCAGAAGGTGTGGCGCAGTTATTGTAACGTCCTGGTGGCCTTGAGAAACACAACTACAGATGCTATGCATACCATCTTTAGCAGGAGTCAGAACCTAGCAGACATTGATGAGGATGATTTGAATCTCTAAGAAGGGGACCCTTTCCTGACCATACACTCCTGCCACCCAGCCAGTCAACCAGCCACTCAGCCTAGCCGTGGACGCGTAGGCAGTTCATGTTTCTTAGGTCGTCCTACATTTGGGATCACAGGTCTTTAGCGAAAGCAAAATATCTTTGGAAAAATCACTAAAACTGCGCCAAAGGGTTATGTGATAAACATCACGTTCATCTTCAATTTAATCAATGGACTGACTCTCTGATACAGCATATAAATCGCTGTTTGGTGCAGGAATCACTTCGGCTTAAGTATTAGCATTTGTGGCTATTCCTCAACTCTCGAATAGCCATAACTCAAGTTGATACTGGAAAGAGATCAAATGATACCGGTGAATAATGGAAACGCTGATACAGCTGACAACAACGCAGGTTACTCAACTGAGAATGTCACAGCACTAGGGCGACGCCTAAACCACCATTTCGAGACATTCTCAAGGTCACAGGGGACAATGCAGCTCGTTTGTTATTAACGTGTGTGTGTTGGAGGCCCACAGAGCTAACCAGGAAGCACTGACGCCTATGTTTTTGTCTCATAATGACAAAGACTTATAGACAATATGAACTGCTTGTGACAACCATGGCCTTACCTTTAAAATCCCATGCAATCATTGAATTCACACCTGAGTCAAATGGATAGCAGCGTCGTTGGTGGTGTCAAAAATTTCAGAACTACGAATTTGCCATTTGCAATAACCCGGTTTTGGTACTTCAAAATAATTCATATTGTTTACTGCCTGCCACTGGCTGCAACATTGGTGATTGTCTTCAAGTTCAATGATTTTTCGCCTTCATGTCTGCTTCTCACAATATGTTGTGCAAGTTCTACTTGTTTATCGCAGACTTTAGCTTAGCAGTCATCTTCGTCTCCATCGCCTGCACTCGTGAGCAGAAAACCAAACTCGTCATTTCGCAAAAGTTATTTCATGACTGGTTGCCATTGTGATTAAATTGTCTGCAAGTGGCGACAATCGTTCAAATCACATGATCTGGGTTATTTTATTGAGCTGATTTCACCCAAGTTTAGGTAAACCATAGTATTCTACTAAAAAATCCAAATTCATAAAATTTTGGCATTGTGTACCATCAAACTAACATCTGCGTACGCGAATTACGTGCATGCGAGCCATACGTGTGTCCCATTCCTTCGTGGTTCCTTAGTATTACCTGATAAATGGCAATATTTTGGTGTTACTGTGATTTTCATAAAGAAATAATAATGGTTTCTACAATTTCTGTACATTGAGCTGAAAACCAACTGTAACCTAAAATACGGACAACTTTACCGAACATTTGGTGGAATACACCCTCACATTTTGTGAAACTCCTGATTTCAGTCTCTTATTTACACCAAATGGATGGCAGAGGCTGGCTTGAAATATACCCTGACGCACTGACAGCGGTGTATTGGGGTTAATTTGCCTATTTTTCTGAAGATATTCAGCTTTTGCCAGAACATGATTACTGCAATCTGACAAATAAAAAGCCACCAAATTCCAACATTTAATTGAGCCATCACGCTGCAGACACTATTTGCTGATCTAGTCGAAATTATTGTGAGAGTACAATAAGGTGATTTGTTGGGCTAAGTAATTGCCACACCACCTACACCTACTCGGCCGGTCACCCCAACTTGGTTGTGTTGTAAGAGAGATGGTGGCAAAATGGCAGATAAAATAAGGTTTGATCGACGGCGGGATTAATGACTGGTTAAGCAAAGCTGCCATTTAACATCAACCTTGATGACATGATTGGGGTCAATTCAGGGTGGGACGATGTTAGCCACAGTACAATTTCCACCAGATGATAGACCTGACTGGCAAGCCTACCCCAACCCCAGACTCTTTCGGTGAATCGGCTCTGGCAGAGATAAGTTTTGAAAGTAAAAAGCAAATATGTTGGCAGAGTAGGAAAATGGAGCAGATGGTGCGCCTCCATAGCTTTTATTCCTCAACCCAATTATATGAGTTTATCTTGCCCCATTGAAATCTCATTTAAGGTTTGTGATACTGTGCAATGCCGAGCATGTCGAAGGTTGAGGAGTGCACTATTCATAACATTCACTTGTTACATTAATTTCGCATCCTGCCTACGGCACATCACTCCATCCACCCACCACATCGTAATTCGTAATAGCTGCCTTTACATGCTTTTAGCGCACACCTACTATTGTTAAGCCTTGCGACACTAGTCTCATTAAGTTACTTGAGCCGCATGTCTTGGCAGTGGTGAAACACTGACAAATGAGTGTATGAAATGAAAAGCCAGACTTTTGCGCACGTGTCATGGTGCTGGCATCTGTGAGAAGTGTGGTGGGTGAAGACACCCTCTCTTGATCGTCTGTAACAGAGGTGATCGCGTCAATCCATAAGCCACATTCTGGAGCAAAATAATCAAAGCCACACTCTAAATAAGTTCCTTTCGTCAGGCCTTGAGTACCGAGATTTAAAATGATTGAAACATGCAAGATCCCTCTTCTTAAGTCCTTGTTTTCAATTTCGTGTAAAATTACGCAGGCTTATCTGTGCGTGGCATGGCATAACCACAAATTGACAAGGCCATATTTAAGGTATTTGTGAGGGGGCTAATTGGCATGGTCTATTTCAGTATGGATGCCTAGAATTTTCCTATTTGGTGGCATAAAGGGGATCATTACACCCACCTAAGCTGCATTAAAATGATGATCAAGAAAATATGCGGTAAGTTGTCCAGTGAGAAATGCAATTTCCATGTTTCTTTATTTACAGCGATCGGAGGGTCGTGCGGCAGCACAAGCATGGTTGACAGGCCTATTGGCTGCAACTCTAGTGTTGTCCAAGTGCTGTTGTCAGGTCCTCGATTTTATTGCTGAATGAAGCCACTTGCTCATTGCAGCTTATCACGTACGCCCACTCTCATGACATTTGTTGACAAATCTCCTAAGATAGTATTTGGTGTGGGTTGCATTCCAATAAGTGATACCAAGGAGAATTATTTTCAATGAAATTCGTTCGCATTGTAACAGCACCTTCACAACCCAATAGTTGGAACTCACTTGGAATGGATCACGTTAAGTGTTGCTGTAGGCAATGCCGAAAGTGACAAAGCTGTTGGGCATTAATTGAACTAAGGCCTTCCATTTCCTTCTCAAGTGGCTATTTTGCGCACCTTTGGAGTGCAATGAACTTCCAATCTAGTAGTGATGAATTTAAATTATAATAGGAGCTCTGCAGCCACAGCATTTCTTTGATCATCACTGACGCCATGCTGACCTTGACACGATGTGACCTCATGGTGCTGCGTGAAGACGCAAATGCTGCTGCCAAATGATTACTGACAAAATTCTTCGTAGAGATGAAATCGTCAAATCAGAACTACCAGCAATGGCCGCATTGTTTTGTGTCTGGGCTTATTGCGCGCCAATCCTCCTGTCAATTGTCCTTTATCATGGCATGCAACGACGAGACGAGACTGCAGACGTATTTCAAGTCCACGTTGCAAATGGTCAACTTTCACTGATAATTCGCAAGTTAAATAAGCGCAAACAATAGGCATTGGCGAGCTGATCTAGAAGTCATGCCCTTCTAACAAATTGTCAAGTTGACCCATTTTGAAACATTGCCTAAGCTACTGACCTTGAGTATTCGGTTGATTTGGTGCAGCCAGACGTGGCATAGTGCAGTGCCAACGATACAGCCATATGCACCACATTGAGCTATATTTTCATCTCTTCATTAATAAAAAGCTTGATTTTATGCATAGGAATGACACAGTGAGTGTACAGGCATCCATCATTTGGGTAGTTCCCAATGCCGTTTCGGAGGGCGCCCAAAAAACCTCCTTCCTACTCACTTCCTGTGTTGAACTAGTTAACCAACTTGCATAAATGCCAAGAAAGCAAAGTACGTCTTTCCATACCGGCAAACTAAGGGTTTTCTTAAAATGAAGTATGCGGCGATGGTGGCGAGGGCTAAACGCTTACTGTAACCTTTAACGGACAGCAGTCATCGAGACACCAGCTACACTCACGATAGAGAAAGTGAACGATGGAAGCGATTGATTTCCCGACCTCTGAAGTCCCGCCTAGGACGCAACCGTTTGTGCATTCACCTCTTCGCACATACTCGGAGCCATGAGACTGACTCACTATCTCTGATCCTCTGAATGGAGCGCTATATGACTAGCGTTTTATTAAATTGAACAATGAAGGTCTTGATCAAAGGATGCAGACTGTTTGGGAACTCCAACCACTGTACTGTACGAAGATGCGCTCCTTACCCAATCCAGCTGAAAAACAGGGACACAGAACCCTTCCTGAAGGCGAACAAAATTGTCTACACGCAGGAATGCCTTCAATTCTACCTCCACTATAGCCAATCCCATCTCACTCCTGATTAGCTGTTGTTGAAGATACTTCCCTGGAGAGAAAATAAATTCTTACACAAAAAGGAAAAACGAGGTCACAAGACTAAAACGCGTCGGAACTTAGCAGCCTTAAAAACGCATTCTCGATTGTTTTGCACCTACTATTAATTGGCATTCCTGATACCTCTGGCCTACTAATTTTACATTACTTAATCCAATCTTTAAAAAGATATTTGAACTGCACCGAAGCCAGTTTTACTCTTCGCAGCACTCCAGCCTCTTCATTCAGTCATCTAAATTGGCATGCAATTGTTCATTCTCTCTTCTCATTAATGACAGCATCTTCCGCTTGACTCAACCAAAGTGAAGGAAGTCCCACGAAGCGCTATCTACAAAGCAAGCCTTCACGTATGACGACTTCACTAGCCGATAATTCGCATCTTCGAAGTCATCAATGTGCATGAGGTCGAAATGAGGCGCAGTGAATCACCTTATACCATTGTTGGATTGTCTATTAAGTTTTCCAGTTCATTTCTACATGCTTTAAACACAAAAGACTAAGCCCTAAGTCTTTGCATCAAATTTTTGCGGCTTCATGAAATAACTACCGAAAAACTTCAACCGTTAACTCTAATTCGGCTGCAACGGTTCAAATACTCTCAAGTGGTAAACCTATCATTTTAGCATGCGTATTCTTGCAAGCAAATTAAACGCGGACAATGAATGTGCAAAAATGCAACTCCTTTCCCCTCGTCACAGCTCAAAAAGGGCTGAAAACACTAGAATTAGTAAAGACCAGGATACTATGAGAAAAAAACAACACATTGGCTAGATTAACGCACTCCAAATCAGCACTCAATTATTCAAGCACACGTATTACAGAAACTGTGGCACCAGCGAACCACAGTAACCACTATCTGAATCTACGCATAATTGTACACTCCCCAGTAAACAAAAGAAATTTAAATCCCTAAACATTAATCGAAATCCTAGACAAATCCATACAAACGGCAGGCAAGCCTCACTTACCAAGCCAACACCAAGGCCCAGACCTTCATATAATCCGCCATAACAAAACATGTATTATTTGATACAGAAAAAGGGTTAAATTTTATCCAATTTTTTTCTAGAATTTTCATAGTTGGTAGCAAAACTGCTTTTGATCTAGTATAGGTGGCAAATGAGCTAGATGTAAGCAAAATTATCTTGCCAAAAATAATTATATTATTAGCTTTTCGAGAGAGCCTATGAAATTCAATTCAAACACTTTAAAAATGTTTACAATGGTACAATTGAACTGCCTAAAAGTTTTCTTACCAGCTGACAGTTGGGTGTATCTTTTGAATAGTTTTTATCACTTATAAACAATTTCGTTGCTCATTTTTTTTAGGCAAATGTGGACGTTTTTAATCCTCTCTGAATTTGCAATAAGCCGAAGCGGTATGACATATCACACATTACTAACATGCAAAAGTAGTGGAACGCTGCTAGCATGGACCAATGTCCATTCCACAATCAAAGTTGTCAAAGTACCATATTACTTTAAAAAAATATGGCATTGAAAACGCAGAGCGAGAAAATTTAACAAACATGACAATTGCTGAATGCATTCATGCAATGCGTTTCTGCATTTAGCTGTCTAGGATATGTGAGTCGCATGTGTTCCCATGAGGTGCTGAAAGTTTGCCTAATCCCTTCTTTGGTCGAAGTGCATAATCTGAGACATTGTAGAATACTACTGCCGTGTTTCAAAGGGAAATATCGGTTGGTACTCTTATTATGTGGCAGGCAAGCACCTTACACAGTGGAATGCTAGCTGATGTATAAGTTGTAGCTCCGTACTTAAGTGGATTGGACGAAGACCTAAATCGCAATGTCCAGTTGCACATCCACAGCAAAACACTCTAATAAAAAGAACTTAAGCAAAATTTTGTCTTTTTCCTCGCCCATTACTTCGTGAATATCCAAGTGCCATTTGTTGCTCTAAATTTCAAATGTCCTGAATAGTTTAGCAAAAAAATCCGTTTTTGAACTTTGTGTGTTGATCGTTATACGCAGCTTAGGGCACATCGCGTTCACAAATTCTGCAATCAAAGTAAGGCGAAGTAATTGCTCCAACGTTCTGTTCTTTCATGGGTTCTACCACTGCTACCTTCATCAAGCAGTCCACCATAACCAGAATATACCGGTTTCCTCTCTGGGTGGATGGTAGAGGACCCATCATGTCAACGCCTCCTCTTTCCTTAAATGTGATGCTTGTAAAGTGATGCCTTTTTAAACTGTTGCAAGTGAGGCAGACTCGGCTGCAATTAGGTGTATTTAAGGAGAGCGAAGGCAAGCATCACTTTATGCTCAAGGGGTCAAGTGCCTCTTTTCACCCATATTGTTTAGTTGGTGATGTGACTCGTGTGGAACTGTCTGCACCAATGATTCGAGAACCACTAGGTTATCACAGAACCTGACACCTTCCTGGTCCAATAACACCTCATTCTGTACAGATGATTTCCACTGTTCTTGTCATGTTCGTCTGTCCATCCGACTCTGCAAGGTCCTTTCTATCGCTGTGGGCTTGTGAGAGGATGTAGGGAATGTCTCGCATGTACCACGTATTTTGCCGATGATGTTTAGTGGGCTCGCTTTGGAACATTGTATTTACAGCAACACAACCTGTTGCAGTAGCAACTGGTCTGCAAGACATGACACTGCATTATTATGCGCATCTTTTTTCTATGCTGTGCTCTACGTGTGGTCACGGCAAGAAATTATTGCAAGCAAGACCAGTTTAGGGTAATGTGGATGAAGGAAAGCTTGAAGTGAGTTGAATTTCTAGGAAAACTCTTGACATTGGGTGGTTGACGCTGCATTTGCAAAGTAACAGCGTCTACATTATTTAGCTAAAAGTAAAGTCAGCATTGCTCCATTGTATAATGTACAGTGTAGTTTCTTATATCATATGTCTTGCTTGAAGAGAAATGTCTTCTTGTTAAATGACTAATCAGGCCAGTTTCCCTGATATCCTGCCATCTCCAAATGGAAATCATTTCCCCATGATGCCAGTGAAGTGAAAGCAGCTGGTCCCGCAGCACATCAATTTAACCTCCAACTGACTGTCACACATTGCAATCACAAGTCAGGTCAGCTCAATATTTCAATGACGTTTGTGAGTCCGTCGCTGACTGACAAATCGTTAAACTGGTTAAATCAACGTCGACGAGGAATAGTAGCAACATCAGCATGCTCACTGCAGCTCAAGCACTAATTTAGGCGAATGCAGGAAAAAGCAGCCATTGTTTACACAAACACACATAAGAGAAATGCCTATTGGGCTTATGCTTATTTCGTCCACTCACTCGCTCCTATTAATTTGACTGACGTGAAAGAGAAAGGGGAAAAGTCTTCACTGAATGATTATCACCCAAAGTTGCAATAGTCACAAGGCTACAGCGCATTCAGTCCCGTCGTCACTGACGAATGTACGGTCACTTTACAGCTGTAAGTGATGTGAATCAGCAATTAATGCTGTGGTTAATGTAGTCACTATGTACAAATTATGAGAATTAAGACCAGATTAGGCCAATGTAGGTGAATAAAGGGTTGATTTGGGTTAAATTAGTTCGGAAAATGCTTGACTTGGTTTTGAGAGAGTTATCTTACAAATCAGTCGCCCTACCGAGCCACCTCGACATACACTACGTTGAGTTGCATCAGCTGAAGACATACAATTTGAGTGATGGCAACGTTTCTTGATTGCAACAAGTGTCACAATCCCCTGCTCATTTGTGCCTTTTGTCGATGCACCCTGAAATGCCATTTACTATTTGTGCTTTTCACCAGCGCACCTTGCAATGCCATTCGCCGATTATTTCAATCATTTCATTCATGCCTCTTGTTCCACGTAGATGGCAAGCATCCGAAAAGGAGGTATGGCGTGCGATTGAGAAATAAATTCAATACAACTGCGACTGCAAATCGTTTTTGAGTCACATATAATTATGACAATGTCTTGAGTAGATACAAATCAGTTGCATCTCATCCAGCCCTCAAAGAATGAGGAACTGGCTGCAATGACCATTACATGAAGTGAAATACGGCCGGCGCATCACCATCACGCTGGTTTAATAAATGCAGTGTTTTTTGCTTAAATTTGCATCAGTGTGAAGCCTTAACCTGTAAAAAAGTTAATAGTATTGAGGACAAAATGTACTGGTCTTGGATGGAGGACGACAGCGATGACCGACTGGTGGAGTCGCATCTATGAGTATGCGACGAGTTGTTGTGTTGAAGTGGGTAAGGGTGAATAATTGAAAGATAGGAGTTGGTCTGAGGAGACGAAAGCGTCGAATCGCTGAGTGCGCCATGTTCAGGAGAATGTGAACAACAGTATCGACAGCGAAGTAGCCCAACGCTTAGGCTGATGTGTGCGTGTGATTTTATTTGTTAAGTAAATGCACGTATTTTTAATGAAGGAGTTAATTATACAGCTTGACAATCCGTGTATCGATGAGAATGAAACAGTAAACCATCTGGGCTGTGGTGAATATGGAGCCATGTTCTGTGAGTGCATAATCCCTTCTGTGACATGCTATAAGAATAGGTCGTTCAGATGTGTTTTGAGATGGCAAGGTGTTTCTCGTATTGAACAAAAAGCAAGCCGATAAAACACGTAGGACTGTAGTATCCCCCTGAAGCCACTGTGGCTTATCTTTTCTTTTTTGACGCTTATCGTAACAAATTGTATATAATTACCTTTCCTCATGTTTTTCTCGTCTCTTCGTTTGATTGTAGCAGAGTTGCTATTATCAACTAGCGTTTCGTGGTTTTTCATGACTTATTATGGGTATCAGTCTAGAAATTGATCGCAAGCAGACTGGGGGAAGCTCTTTCATTAAAATGGAGATGAATATAAGGTTTATCAATCACACAGCAGAAAGTACTGCGTGGGTGCGTGGAAGGAGTACAGATATCTCTTAGCGTGTACGCATAGGATAGAGAAAAAATCGTCCTCGTGAGCTAGCCGAAGTAAATTACTGGTGGTGGGTAAACCGATGTGGCAGATCTGAAGTACTCTTGACGTTCATCCGACTGCATCCTTCTCCACGAGAATTGCAGTGGCAAATCGTGAGAAAGATAGGAGGGAATTTTGGGCCAGGCTGTGTCTTGAGTTCAGCTAAGTGTCTTCGTAGTGTGTCATGCCTACTAGCGTCGACACCTTCATGATGATTAGTTTGCAAATGTGATTATTTGATTAGTTACGGCTTATTACCATGGTCTGGGGTTTTCTGAGTACTCCTCTATGCTTCATTGTGAATTATTTGCATCTACCCCGCCGATTATTTTATTCTACCTTTGCATAATTTACCAACTTTTCGTCTCTGCCTCACTGTAACCTTCGATTTCCTCACAAACGAGTGCGACGCGGCAAAGGTGATGACCATGTGTCATCTTTGAACCGACACGACACTACAACCTTCAGCTTCTCGGTGCTCTATTGCCACCACTGCCGTCAACCCGAGATCGCCTACGATCTCTCCGACATCGCTACTTTGGCTTATTATGGCAATTTACACCATTCTCAAGCAGCTGCAGCCCCCAGCGATCTGCATGTCCTAATAAATAAATGTATTTTATTCAATTTAAGTAGTATAAACGCCGTCAGTCCAGAGACCCGTATTTACTGACTTATTTCTCAAAAAGATGATGATCCCACCCACTTGCGAGTCGAAAATTTAGTAACGGCATTTAGAAATGGTAAAAGATGAAGTTACTAAGGTCACTGAATGGCCTCACACTTAAGACGTATAGGGGCTTGAAAGCACGCCACGTTAAGCGCGTTATTTATAGTAACCTGGTGTTCAGAAGTGATATCTTCTGAGAGGTTCAAAATAGGGGCCAGCGAGGCAGGAATCAGGTGAATGGATGGGCGCACTGCAAAGAGGCACGCTCTCATGCCAAACATTTGAGCACTTTAAAATTGTGTTGGTTTGACCAGTAACCTGAAAGGAATGGAGAAGATAGTTCTACAATAAGGATTTACTGGTATAGCATTGCTATTAATTAGGCCATAATGAGTATTGGTGTCATTTTCATAGGATGAAAGGGGATACGGAATAATAAAATGAGGTAAAGATAGGAATCGATGCCACTGATGGGCGTGTGCCGTGTGTAGTTTGCAATCTGCGATGTGGACAGAGTACTCGAGAACAAGTCCCTCTGACTGGAGCTACAGTTCAGGCATCAGCATAGGTTTCACAGTTCAAGGTGCCCACAGGTGGTGATTTGCGAGTGCCCATCCGTACTTTCTTACCAAACGCGAAAGCATCAACACACAATGTACCAGAGTTCGTGTTACCACTGAAAGGCGAAATGCGACAAACTCCCCACATCGCACGAAGACACGTACGACTGTTATGTATTAGACAGAAGCTGTGCAATGACAGGCACAACAGAGAGAACGACCCATTACTGGTATACAGGCCTGTTCCGCCATTTGAAAGACGTCGCATATCCAATCATCGGTGGTGCAGAGGTGCACTCTGAGTGATGAAAGCCATTTCACTTGCAAACTGCCTGGTCTGGCGTGCACGACTCCCCACTCAACCACTCAGGGTTCATCTCAGCAATGTACCTCCACACAAAGGTACGCCATCCTGTCAGATACGAAGACGAAGTTCGCATACCGGGAGAGGAGGCTGCGCGAGTTTAGATTTTTGCGACCAACGTCTCTAAGACCCTGTATTGTCAGAAGGTGTGGCGCAGTTATTGTAACGTCCTGGTGGCCTTGAGAAACACAACTACAGATGCTATGCATACCATCTTTAGCAGGAGTCAGAACCTAGCAGACATTGATGAGGATGATTTGAATCTCTAAGAAGGGGACCCTTTCCTGACCATACACTCCTGCCACCCAGCCAGTCAACCAGCCACTCAGCCTAGCCGTGGACGCGTAGGCAGTTCATGTTTCTTAGGTCGTCCTACATTTGGGATCACAGGTCTTTAGCGAAAGCAAAATATCTTTGGAAAAATCACTAAAACTGCGCCAAAGGGTTATGTGATAAACATCACGTTCATCTTCAATTTAATCAATGGACTGACTCTCTGATACAGCATATAAATCGCTGTTTGGTGCAGGAATCACTTCGGCTTAAGTATTAGCATTTGTGGCTATTCCTCAACTCTCGAATAGCCATAACTCAAGTTGATACTGGAAAGAGATCAAATGATACCGGTGAATAATGGAAACGCTGATACAGCTGACAACAACGCAGGTTACTCAACTGAGAATGTCACAGCACTAGGGCGACGCCTAAACCACCATTTCGAGACATTCTCAAGGTCACAGGGGACAATGCAGCTCGTTTGTTATTAACGTGTGTGTGTTGGAGGCCCACAGAGCTAACCAGGAAGCACTGACGCCTATGTTTTTGTCTCATAATGACAAAGACTTATAGACAATATGAACTGCTTGTGACAACCATGGCCTTACCTTTAAAATCCCATGCAATCATTGAATTCACACCTGAGTCAAATGGATAGCAGCGTCGTTGGTGGTGTCAAAAATTTCAGAACTACGAATTTGCCATTTGCAATAACCCGGTTTTGGTACTTCAAAATAATTCATATTGTTTACTGCCTGCCACTGGCTGCAACATTGGTGATTGTCTTCAAGTTCAATGATTTTTCGCCTTCATGTCTGCTTCTCACAATATGTTGTGCAAGTTCTACTTGTTTATCGCAGACTTTAGCTTAGCAGTCATCTTCGTCTCCATCGCCTGCACTCGTGAGCAGAAAACCAAACTCGTCATTTCGCAAAAGTTATTTCATGACTGGTTGCCATTGTGATTAAATTGTCTGCAAGTGGCGACAATCGTTCAAATCACATGATCTGGGTTATTTTATTGAGCTGATTTCACCCAAGTTTAGGTAAACCATAGTATTCTACTAAAAAATCCAAATTCATAAAATTTTGGCATTGTGTACCATCAAACTAACATCTGCGTACGCGAATTACGTGCATGCGAGCCATACGTGTGTCCCATTCCTTCGTGGTTCCTTAGTATTACCTGATAAATGGCAATATTTTGGTGTTACTGTGATTTTCATAAAGAAATAATAATGGTTTCTACAATTTCTGTACATTGAGCTGAAAACCAACTGTAACCTAAAATACGGACAACTTTACCGAACATTTGGTGGAATACACCCTCACATTTTGTGAAACTCCTGATTTCAGTCTCTTATTTACACCAAATGGATGGCAGAGGCTGGCTTGAAATATACCCTGACGCACTGACAGCGGTGTATTGGGGTTAATTTGCCTATTTTTCTGAAGATATTCAGCTTTTGCCAGAACATGATTACTGCAATCTGACAAATAAAAAGCCACCAAATTCCAACATTTAATTGAGCCATCACGCTGCAGACACTATTTGCTGATCTAGTCGAAATTATTGTGAGAGTACAATAAGGTGATTTGTTGGGCTAAGTAATTGCCACACCACCTACACCTACTCGGCCGGTCACCCCAACTTGGTTGTGTTGTAAGAGAGATGGTGGCAAAATGGCAGATAAAATAAGGTTTGATCGACGGCGGGATTAATGACTGGTTAAGCAAAGCTGCCATTTAACATCAACCTTGATGACATGATTGGGGTCAATTCAGGGTGGGACGATGTTAGCCACAGTACAATTTCCACCAGATGATAGACCTGACTGGCAAGCCTACCCCAACCCCAGACTCTTTCGGTGAATCGGCTCTGGCAGAGATAAGTTTTGAAAGTAAAAAGCAAATATGTTGGCAGAGTAGGAAAATGGAGCAGATGGTGCGCCTCCATAGCTTTTATTCCTCAACCCAATTATATGAGTTTATCTTGCCCCATTGAAATCTCATTTAAGGTTTGTGATACTGTGCAATGCCGAGCATGTCGAAGGTTGAGGAGTGCACTATTCATAACATTCACTTGTTACATTAATTTCGCATCCTGCCTACGGCACATCACTCCATCCACCCACCACATCGTAATTCGTAATAGCTGCCTTTACATGCTTTTAGCGCACACCTACTATTGTTAAGCCTTGCGACACTAGTCTCATTAAGTTACTTGAGCCGCATGTCTTGGCAGTGGTGAAACACTGACAAATGAGTGTATGAAATGAAAAGCCAGACTTTTGCGCACGTGTCATGGTGCTGGCATCTGTGAGAAGTGTGGTGGGTGAAGACACCCTCTCTTGATCGTCTGTAACAGAGGTGATCGCGTCAATCCATAAGCCACATTCTGGAGCAAAATAATCAAAGCCACACTCTAAATAAGTTCCTTTCGTCAGGCCTTGAGTACCGAGATTTAAAATGATTGAAACATGC